GAAAATTAAGGAGAGAGACAATCTTAAGGGGAAGACTCCCTGAGAAAACAGGAAGGGAAAGGACCACAGCAACAACTATTGGCCAAAAGGGCCATCTCATTTTCTGAAAAGATCAAAAGATGAGAAGTAGTTCAGGACAGATGACCTCAATTTCTTCAGTAAAATATAAAACAAAGTCATCTGATGACAGGGAGGGGATATGGCAGGGTAGATGGCTTAAGAGGTGATGATATAGAATAGCCACCGTGAGAAACGTGACAGAGTAAATCAAGAAGAGTAAAAAGATTATAGTTGCAGCAGTTAGGGAGAGTTGAGACTGAAAAACCTAAATATGTAACAAACTCAATCTATTACAGTTGTGATTTCCTCTAGCTGCACTGAATAGGAAAAGAGAAAGCAGATGGTAGCTTGGGATCTGGAAAGGAATAAGTAACAGAGTACAATGCATTGACTGTGGAGTCACAAGCTATGGGTTCAAATCCTACTGCTGACACTTGGATGAGCTGTTTAACTTCTCTAGACTTCATCTGTAAAACGAGAAGGTTAGACCAGGTATATCCTGAGGTCTCTTCCAGCTCTAGATCTATCCATCGTTCAATTAGTAAACATTTATTAAGCACCTACTATGTGCCAGGCACTGTGCTAAGTGCTGGTGAAACAAAAAGAGGCAAAAGACAATCCTTGTCCTCAAGCAACACATAAGATCAGGGACCTATGATCCTACACTAATGAGGCAAGGGACTCAAGGGTGCAGCATAAAATTAGACTGCTTAACTAAGGCAGACTTTTTAAAAAGGACATACCTACATGCTGACACCTTTCCATTTGATCATCCCAAGGAACAAGAGTCATGAGCAAATGAATCACTGAGCAGTACAACAAAAGGCAGTTAGTTACCGAGTCCTGAATTGAAAAGATCCCAGGGCAGCTTCTTAAAAACTTAATGGCAGCAGCAAGGCAGCAGCAGCATGCATCTGTTTGCCACAAGAGCCAAAGAATGTCAATTCCAGATTTCAGAAACGCTATGAAACAAATTGCTAATAATTAGAAAACAGGTATCTCCTTTGGAGTCAGCAATAGCCTATGTCCCAATATGAGACTAAGGTCACCATGGACATAAAATAGAAGACAGTTATGCAAGACTGTCTACTGTATGCCTCATAAAATCCCAAATTTAACAGCTGCTGAATTTTATCTCACCTTGCAAAAAATGTTTTATCTTGTATACACAGAGTTTTATGCTACTTTTTAATCTCCAGAAGTTTTCTTTTTCCATTAGAATTTATAACTTTCAGTCTTAAACTAATTATCTTCACCAAAACTGTTTTTGATTGAAAAGTGCTATAAGTAATTAGCATTATGATCCTAGGTCCTAAGCGTAAAGATTCCAAGAATAGTTCAAGAACACATAAAAATATATACCAGTTTACTCAATCTAATTACACAAGCTAAGAGAAAGCATATAATTAATTCTGTGTTAGGAAATATAGATGTGTATGTACACATACACACACATATACACACATGCATACATATATTTTCCATGACATATAAAGAATACGGAATCTTCCAAGAACAATTTTAACTATGAATATTTATATTAATGCTATTATGCTAATTCATAAGTAGCCCTACTAATCTTCAAAAATACCTTGAAAGAATTTTTCTTAACATTTGACTACTCAAAAAAATTTTTTTGAATTATGTGCTATTTACTTTCTCAGGAAACCCATAATATTAAGGCAACCTACTAAAAGAAATATGTTAAGAGATGAAAATCTTATCATAAAAGGACATTTTAAATCCCATAAATGATCTGGTATTAAACAGAGTTCAGACTTTTAAACCCACAATCCCAGCATGTCTGCTGCTGCACATATTTCCGCATTTTAAAAACAAACTGGATTTAGTTGCCTAAACTTTGTACACAGTACATGCAACTGACCTAAGAAGCCACCCACAAAGTTGGTATCCAGACAGAAAGAACACTACCTTATTTATATTGACAATGGGCACAAATTATTTCAAAGTTTACTATGCATTTATGTAACACTTAATTTTGAACTCTTTCTGAGATTATCTAAAACTAACTCAATTATAAGGAGCTCTTTCCCCTAAAATACATATTAAGAATTTTCTATTGTTTGCTTCACTATTAGTCCCCAAAATCCAAGCTTAGCAGATTGTTTAACTTATACAACTTGTCACATGACAGAATGGTGACACAAATTTTTAAAAAAAAAAGCATAATATATTTCATTCCAAAAAAGTGTGATTATTGAAGAAAATCCTTGCTGATTTGCTTTAGTGCAGATAGGTACACCAATCATCTGTATTTCATAAGAATAATCTGATATAAGAGCTATGATTTAATTCTAATTGCATTTTAACAGGTGTTAAAATATCTAAACAAAACTAATTTTATTTTACTGTACACAGTAAAGATAAATTTTCACAGCAATATCCACTTTTTCAAATTTGTGCCTATCATTTGCTGAGTTCCTTCATCATGTTGAGTTCCTTGATCATGAATATGCACTAAGTGAATTGATAATAATTAATAAACAAAAATTAGTTAATCATCTTTATTTTATTAAAAAATTTAATGGCTGTAGAATTTGCATCACTAAGATCAAGGGTAAATTACATACATTACATTAAATAGACATAAAAATAAAAGAATAACTTCAGAGACAAGACTATATTTTACCAGAACAAGCCAAAAGAGAAAAATAGATCTCTGGAAAAAATGAAACAATCTTAGGTTAAAATCTGATATTCAATACATTTTTAAAAGCTCATCATATAAACAAAAGGAATCTCAAAGAATTTTAAATAAAAATTTCCCTTTGAAAACAATATTCCTTATGTTACAAGAAAAAATTTTAAAAAACAATTTATACAAGGCATTCTTTTAAAAACTGTTTTTAAATTACGGTATTTTTAAAATTTTTTTGAAATAGCTTAAAATAAAACATGACAAGACATAAAAACACGTTGAAAAGTATCTCCTTCAAACATACAGTAATACAATTGGCTTAATAAAATGTGTAATCATAGTTAAAGTAAATTTGCATATTTATATTAGCATACATTGGCAATTTCTGAAAATGTAGCTGGTTCCTCTTAAGAAATAAAAGATTATAGTCACTAGAACTTTATAAAATGAGTGACAATTTGATCAAACAACCTCATTTTCTAATTTCCTGGGGTTCAAAATATTATTAATTTCTCTGAACTTATATACTATTGGGGAGAGGAGTTTTTGGAAAAATGTCTGTGAAAATTAATCAAGTATGATTTGTAAAATGCACATACTCTTCTGATCATATTTTAATGAAAAATCTAATTAGACAACAGAATAAGAACCATATCCAGAAACTAATTTCTTAAATGTCACTGAACTGTTCTGTTTTTAAAAGAGGGGGGATTTTAAATATATTCAATAAACAGTATCAAGTTTTTAAATCCCTCCAGACTGACTGCAGACACATAAAAAGCTTTACTGCTACAAAAAATTGCTTAAGTATATATACAAATCAGAAACTATGGCACTTTTCCTCATGGGCTTTCTATTTCACATTCTTTTTGAAAGGAATTTCAATAAAGGTAAGAAAAATGTTGAATAAGCACTTTCTCTTCAATATCCAGAATACTCAAATTGTTTTTAATTGTTAAAATATTCTAAGATGACTTATTTCAGCTTTGTCAAAAGCTTCCTATTTCTGTGCTGACATTCTTGATTGATCCATCACATTCTGCTTTCTAAAAATAAAGAATTAAGTTGCCCAATTTTTAATATTAAGTAGTAAATAGTCAAAAATGATGGGAATATGCAAGTATTCCTATGTTGATTTTCAATAAAATTCCAAAGCTTATATAACAGAACTTGAATAGTCTCTTCCCAACAATTCCAAGTGGAACGCAGGCTAGGAAGATATTTACTCATGGAAAAGAAAATAGGGAGCTAATCAAATACATTTTTTCACCCCAACTGACAACTGCCTTCTCTTTTGTCGATGTTATAAAATATTCTGTCTACTGACAAAGAGAAAAGGGAGTATTTCACTTGTCAGTTTGAGTAGCTATATTGAGAGGATTACTAGTCACAGATTTAATTAAGTTATGTACAAGAAAGATTTTTTTTCAAGTAAATGGACTATTTAAAGTTCACTTCCAGCTCCTAAATTTGGGGAGGGGGGGATGGCTAGGCATACAACATAGTCCCTATTTGTCACTACTCTCTCTCCACCACCCACCCTGCACCAAACCCCCATTGTTCTATGTAAAAACTCACTGCTTCTCTATGGGCTAATGAAATCTAAATGGCAAGTGCCACATACACATAGGAGATGATCCTAGTAATCAACTCCCGCTATCAACATTTACTTGCCGCCTTCCTTCCAAGAAATAAAACCCTAATTTAAAGGTAAAAACGATTACAAACTGGTTGGGGGGGGAGTGTGGGAGGGAGAGAGAGAGAGAGAGAGAGAGAGAGAGGATCCCAGCTGCCCTTAAACTGCACCACTCTCCAGACTGATGGATGTCACTCGGGAGGGGGATGGTAAAGTCCCCAGAATGGTAACCACCGGCATAATAATGCAACTTATAAAATCCATTTCGCCGCCCTTTCAATAGAAGCTCTTCTGCTGAAACCCTTTTTCAAAAAGCAAAGCATCCTGAAGGGGTAGAGACTCCCCTCTCCTTATTTGGCACCACCACCCCTCTACCCCCGGTGGAAATAAACACAAGCCGCACCTGGGATTCTGGATATTTCAGATTCCTCATTCAACCACCCCTCTCCCCACAGACCCGGCTAATGGGGACCAGGAAGAATGGGCGGAGAGGGGGCCCGGCAGAGGCCAGCGGGGTGACACGGACGCCCCCCACCCCCCGCCCGAGCGCCTGCCCCGGCCGTCCCTCCCTCCGGCCTGTGGGAGCGCACCCGGGCAGGCACGCACCCTGGCACACGCACCCTGGCACACGCACGGCGCACTCACCCATCTTTCCTCTTGGCTTTGTAGACGTGACCGTAAGTGCCTCGGCCAACTTTGCAGCCCTCGTATTCAAACAGGTCCTCGACCCGCTCCCGCTCGCTGCTGAGCTTCACTTTGAAGTCATAGTCCATTGTCACAGCCTCCGGGCAGGCGGGCGGGCGGGGAGAGGCTCCGGGTCCGGGGTCAGGGCCGGGGTCCGGGGGGGAGCAGAGGCAGCCGCGGTCCCCGGGATCCCGCCTGCTTCACGCCCGCCGGCGGCGGCACCACCCCGGCTGATGCAGGAAGAGGAGGAGGAGGAGGCCCCGCGCCGGAGCCGGGGACATCCAGCGGAGGGGCGAGGGACGGGCGAGAGACGGAGCCGGAGGCGCTCCCGCCCGGGGAGGGGAGCGAAGGGGAAGGGGCCGCGGCCCGCAGCCGGAGCCGCTCTCGGTCCTCGTCCCCGGGCTGGCTGGGGCGGCGGCGGCTGCAGCTGCTGCCGCTCTCCTCTGCCTCTCCTTCCTCCTCCTCCTCCTCCTCCTCTCCCTCACACACTCACTCCCTCTCTCACCCACTCACACACACACTTACCCACTCACACACGCAAGCACACTCACCCAGAGAGGCAGCCGCACAACACAACAGCCGGTATCTGCACACACATACACACACACACACACATACATACACTCACACACACGCGCGCACACACACACGCACACGCACACACACACACACACACACAAACACACAGAGGGAGAGAGAGGGAGAGCGAGACCGGAGGGGAGGGGGAAATCACTGAACGCGGCCGCGGCTGTCGCAAAAAAACGTCGCAAACCCTCAGGTTTCCTTCTCCTCCTTCTCTTCCTCCTCCTCGTTCTCCTCCTCCCCCGCCCCGACTGCTCTCGGCCTCAGAGCTCGCTGCCCCTCGCGGCGACACCCGAGCCTCACGGAGCCGGTGGAGTGAGAGTATGAGCTAGCCGGCAAACCCCAGCTGCTGCCGGGCCGACCACGTGGACTGGTCCGAGGCGCTGGGACTACGACTCCCAGAAAGCAGCAGGCTCCTCCTCCCCTCCAGCTCCCACCCCCTTTCGTGACTCCGCCCCAGAAGGGAAGTTTTTGTTGCATCCTGGGATTTGTAGTCGTCGCCAGGATTATGTGCCTGTATGCAGTAGGAAAGAACCTTAGCAGGAAGTGAGGAAATAGGCATTTATTTGGTACTATGTGCCAAGCGCTTTACAAATACTATCTCATTTAATCCTCACAACAAAATGGGGATCATAATACCACCCACTTCCCAGAGAATGATTGTGAGGATCAATTTACAATATTTGTAAAGCTTAGCATAGTGCTTATGAGATATTACTAAAGCTTACCACAGTTGCCTGGCACATAGGAAGCGCTATAAGCTATTGTTATTATTACCCTCATTTTACAATTGTTGAAATTGAGGCAGACTGAGGTTAAGGGTCTTGCCCAAAGTCACATAGCTGGTAACTGTCTGCGGTTGAATTTGAACTCAGGTCTTGCTGCCTCCAGACCAAGTGCTTTATCTACTGAACTAGCTTACTGTCACTCCAGACATTAGAGAGATGATGAAAATAAGGTCCAGTGTCTTGCCCAAAGTAGAGTCAAACCCTGTCCCAGATATTTCCTGGCTATGTGACCCTGGGTAAGTCACACCTCTGTGCTTCAGTTTTCTCTTTTGTAAAAAATAGAGACTGGCCTCAGTGTTCCCTTCTAGCTCTAAATCTACATTCCTATGAATCAAAATATAATAAAAGCTCATAGTCTATTATTATAGTTATTATACCAAACTATTATAGTTATTATTGTTTTACCCATATCATAGTTAACCAAGAACATTCCTAAAAACCGGTCTGGCAAGGTTGATAGTGCAAATATTATTTGCCTTTTTTATAGTTGAAAAAAAAAATGAAGCTCCATGGTGTCATTCTCCAATGCCTTCATAACGTGATGTGACCCTGTCTTCATAAAGTCTATGCCAGTGGAGCACAATATCTGGCAGTTTCTGCCATCATGGAAAGGCTTCCAACATGGCAAGGACAATAGACTGTTTATCCTTTTTAAAGACCATCATAGCTATATATAGGGAGGCTCAGTACCAATAAACACACTTCTTGTTGTTGAATTTTTCGGCCATGGCAACCTATGAACCAAAAAAAAAAAAAAAAAGATCAAACAGTCCTCAGTCTTGTGCTGCCCCCTTCTGCTTCTGCTGTGAGGGTGACAGAGTTGTGCGGGGGGGGGGGGGGGGGGGGAAATGGTTCTATGAATCACACAGCTATAAACATTAATTTAACTATTAAGACTCTGTTAGATCCTTATCCAATGGCCAACTACTAAAGGAACTGGATCATAGCAATTTTGACTTGTCACTATCGATGGAACCAGAAGACATAGGACATTTTAGCTAAATGGAAGGATGGATCACAGATTCTCCTTGGAAAGGCACTTAAAGGAACTCCTGGGTTTTATTCTGCATCCAAAGATGAACAAGAAATATCATAGGACATTTGATTATCTCATATGGCAGTGCTCAAGATAAGTTTATGTTAAAATACCACCATGAAAATTATTGCAGTTCACACATCAATATTGTTGCAGAGAATTGAGAAGTAAAGAAATTTTGCAAATTCGAAAAGACCTTCCAAATTAAATCATCATGTACTTTCATACATGGTGACATCAACACAAATATAAGCATGGAATAACTGTGCAAGGATAGATAAAATATATTTCAGGAATAAGAGATGCAGAAGGACGAAGAATTATATACTATATAGAAATCCCATACATATACACCATGAATATTTTCTTAAAGAAAAGATTTGGAAAGCACTGGACATGGTGAGCACCAGATAACATCACCAAAAAAGTTAGATGATTATATTTTAACAAGTAAGAAACAACTTGTTATTGATATGGGAGCCATTCCTAAATCAGCTCTCTGAGTAGAGTCAACTGCTAACTTCTTTTGACCAAAGATCAAAATTAATATAAAACTAGATGAAAGAATAAAAATTAGAACAAGAATGCACAATTTTAAAAAACAACTCCAACTTAACTTACTTAAATAAGCTTTTGACACATAAAAATAAGAAAATGGATATAGGAAAAGACATACAATGACCACAATTTCACACCAAAGCACAATTGGTATAAGTCAATTGGCATAATGGTGAAACCAATGGAGCTGAAAAATCACCTCAGGCATCAAACACTTGATCTATTTGACAGGCAGAGATATGTCAGTCAATGGCAGAACCAGATTAGGATATAAATGTGTTTGTAAAACCTTACAGAATAGGATAGTGGGAGATTATGAACAGTATCACCTCATGAAATAGCTAAAAGCAGTAGAAGAAAAAAAAAACAGTTTAAATACAAATGCGTGAGAAACCAAACCAAAATAAAGTCATCCCAAGTCTATTTAGCAATGAGACTAAAAGGTGAACATCAAGCAGATGAAAGATGTTTAACAGGGCTCTGGCACATGTGCAGATAACATCCATTTGCTAAGATGGCATCTCTCAACATGGAGAAAGTCTGGGTTGTGTTTCATAAAGATTGAAACACCTGTAGACATTCTGCATTGGCCTACCCTGTGGTTTGGAGAAGCTTTTTTTTTTTCATTGACTGTGTAATAAGAACTATTGGCATTTTTCAAATGGACAGACTCAGCACCAGCTAAGGATTCCAGCATTTATATCTGAGGGATCAAGGTGACTCCAGTGAGAGAACTCAGCTATAAGGGGAAGGGCCTTGGAGTTTTCCCTCCTCACCTCCCTTCCCCCTCCCCCCATTAAAGATTCTACTTCCTGTACCGAGAAAAGAAAAGAAAGAACAAAAAGGTAAAACCCTCAGTCTGTTTCTAGGATAATATAAAAGATCTGCAAAGACAAACTCTTTTCACCATCAAGGACAATGGAGCCACTGCATTTGGTGCAAACATCACAGCCACGGATGTGCTTTTTCCAAAAGTGGAGAAGACTCAGAAGACAACCAACATGAGCAAGTATATACAGAGGACTATGCTGGAAGCAGGACGTTTTTTTAGTTCATGGAGGGAGGGATTAAATCCAAAGAAGGGGAAGATACCAAAGGCATAGAAAAAAAAATCACTTACTACCGAAAAACAAAACAAGAGAACATAGAATCAAAAAATTATAGTTTCAGAGATGAAAGGGATCTTAAGCAACTCCTGACCAACATGCCTACTTTTCCATCTATATAAAATGTTTATGAAAATAATGCATTTACAAATGCATCAAGGGCACTTTTGGTGAAGATTAGAAGGGAACCAGTGAACTCACAAGAACTATTTACAGTAGATTATATCTTTACTAATATGTAAATTTGCTGGGGGGGAGGCTACAAAATCTCATTTATCATAGGTTAAATTTAAACTTTTTTTATTTTTTATAATATAAGGTACTCTTCCCCTTCCTAAGTGAGCATTTTAGTTGCTGAAAGGGGTATTAAAAAAAAAGGAAATGTGTTAGAAAGACAGCTTAAGATAGTTCTGAGGACCTGAGAGAAAACAAACCCTCAGATAAATGACATGTTTAAAATTGAAAGGATAATGTGAAGGTTGGTAGTGGTGGTGTTCGGTCATTTCAGTCGTATCCAACTCTCCATGACCCCATTTAGAGTTTTCTTGGCAAAGTTTCTTGGAGCGGTTTACCATTTCCTTCTCCAGCTCATTTTAAGATGAGGAAACAGGCAAACAGGGCTAAGTGACTTGCCTAGGGTCACACAGCTAGTAAATGTCTGAGACCAGATTTGAGCTCAGGAAGATGAGTCTTCCAGATTCCAGGTCTGGCACTCTATCCATTGCACCACCTAGCACCTATTTATTTAAATCCTTCTTAGATTGTAGAGGGCAGTAAAGGACAATATAGGGAACCTTGAGAAGTTTCCCCTCTCTCAAGCTGTAGATGGTGACAAAGGACAGTACAATCATTCTCTAGCTCATCTGCTCTCAGCAAAACCACATGGCTGAAGAGTATGTCTTTCTCCTGTCAGTTGTCTCAGCGGTAAGCAGCTATTTTCTCAGCTTCTCTCATCTTCTGTGTTCTTTGTTCTCCATCTTCTTCTGACTCCTTCTACGTTCAGCTTGTGACATCTAACGTCTCAAATTTGGGCCTCCTCAATAAGCTTCAGACACTTACTAGCTGTGTGAACCTGGGCAAGTTCCTTAACCT